TGGTTGTAAACCTCGTGGTCGGAGGGTGGCTGGGGCAGGACACCATGGGCACCCCGAGGTTCAGCCCCAGGAGCTCCCACACCCCCTTTGTCAGTGTTAGAACAACCCCCCCAGCAGGAAAATCCCAAAGGACACATTGCTGGTTTGCCAGGATTGGCAATTCCTCAGGGGCAGGTAGCAGCACTGTTAGAGGTTTCAGTCTTCAGGTTTGGATTTCTGCAGCACACAAATACTTTTTGCAGCTCTTTTTTCCCACTAAACAAAGATTTTATGGACAAAATCAGGCCAGCTCTAGTTGTGTTATTCCATGCAATGTGCATATTTGTCTGCCTCATACTCCCAGACTGCCAGAGCTTCTTTTAGAGATGTAAACCTTCAACTTCATTTAAAACCAGAAGATGGCATTCTTGAGAAAAGGTTTGCAAAGAGAGCAAACACATTTTATTATACACGAGGCAAATTTTGCTCTAATCTGTACCAGATCAATTTCTTTAGCGAGTGACTTTCCCACCTTTTGATCCTCAATAAATAATTACTGCTGGGTACATGAAGGCTCTGAGGGTGACATGTTCTCCCTGCCCAGTGTGCAACCCAAGTCGTGAGCAAGGTCCTTCACAGCAGCCTTCAGAAAGTGCTGCCAGCTCTGCTAAGTCCCATCCTCCTCCCATCCCTGTTTCCCAGATCATCTCCTCCTCCCTCTCCTCCTTCTCCTCCTCCACCTCCTCCGCCTCCTCCTTCTTCTCAGTGCACTGTAGCAGATTTCACAGTTTTGCCACACAAAGGAGCTTTCAGGCTGGTGAAAAGCAGCATTTCCAGCCATTCCTGGGTTTATGCAGCAAATGCACTGCTGGAAGTGCCCTTGTCCCAGCCTGGCGGGCAGGGATGTGAGCTGCCCTTGGGGATGAGCACTGGTTCCCAAAGGCTTGTCCAAGGGCAGACTTGCAGCCCCCCAACACATCATAAAGTCAGTCCATGTTAGTCAGGTACCTGTGGGGATCTGGCCCTGCTATTTGCTCATTTTAAGGCAGGTTTAATCCAGAATAACTTCAGCCAGGGACAGGGGAAACTGAGGCAAGCCCTGGTTTATGTAACCAGCAGTGGAGGCTCCTGATGTTTGTGGTCTGGCAGCCTCAAAGCTCTGCTCCCACCAGAAGTGCATCCTGAAAATGAAAATGTTATTTCAAGGAATAATATTTCAAAGAATAACAAATGATTAATCAGCCTCCTAAACTGTTTCCCCCCAAGCACAAATGCTCAGAAGTGATCCCTGCTTCCAATGTACAATGTGGATTCGTGGGAGAGTTTTGGCCACCAGTAACTCCACTGGGTGTGTCACCTGTGGGATGGGAGCCTGGCACACTTCTCCAGTCCCCAGGACTGTCAGAGTTCTGCTGGGACAGTCACTTGCCAGCCCTTCCATTGCAGAGGACCTGGAGGGGGAAGTGTTGGGCAGTGCCTGCAGCCAGGCTCTGTCTGCCCAGTCCTTCAGAGGCAGGAGGGATCTGCCTGCATGGACAGAGCCACAGCACGGGATGCAGACAGCTTCTCTGAGGCCTCCTGGAGCATTGCTCCTGTCCTCAGAATCAAACCTCCTTGCTATCACAGTTCTTTGCCTTTCTGAAATCTCCAAAAATCAACGCATCTCCCTTAACCGTGCCTAAACCCATCTGAAATGGCAGCAAAATTCCCCACCTTGCAGCACCCATTTATCTGCTTATCTCGTGTGGGAAGTATGCCGAAAGCAGAGACTAAACTAAAACACACAAACCCGAGAATCCCACCCTGCTGAGTTTCCCTCTGAGTATTCCCAAAATCCTTTGGTAGGCAGGGAAATGCTGAGATGCTGGCAGTGCCCACCACAGCCAACCTGTCTCTGACAGTGTCTGCTGCTCATTTCAGGGGTGCTGTGTGCAGGGATCTGTCTGACCTGCTGGGCAGCCCCTACATCATCACTGGGGACAAGGTAGGGACCCTGCCATCACTGGGGACAAGGTAGGGACCCTGCTGTGGTGGCTCTGCCATACCCTGGGCCAACCCTGGGCTTGGTGCCATTAGTCCATCACACACAAACACAGAATCAACTGTTAAATCCCACCCAGGTGCTTTTTGCTGTTAAATCCACAGAACATGCTGGTGCTGGACATGTTTGTCACTGAGACCTGAGGGATGGGGACTCTGTGGCTGCAGTCTCCAATCTCCAATGTGGCCAGGACTCAGAGGAATGGATGGGGGAGGGAGCAGCAGGGTGCTGGTGTTCCTGGGGTGTCTCTTCCTTTCTTTGGCTTTCCAGGAATTTTTGACTCCACAAACTGAAGTAAAAAGACCTCATGACCCCCTAGTGAGACTGTCCTGCTGTGCACTGTCAGATCCAGCTGGGCATGGCTGGGCAGAGGCTGTGTCCTGAAAGAGCTGATCCCTAAATAAATCGCATTTGCATTGTCAGGATGCATCACCCACACCTCCCACAAGGTGGATTCAAGAATGTGACCCCCTGCTCCCAGGGTGCACACCCTGGAGGGGTGGGGAGTGTGCCCAGGGATTAGGACCCCAGAAGGAGTTAGGTGCAGGCTGGTGTTGGTATTTATCAGCTGCTTCACTGATATTGATCCTGAGTGTGTAACTCACTGACTCATGGATAATTTCTTGTCATTAGTAAGTCAATAAACAGTTTTGATCCTCATTTCATCGAGCTGACATGATTTGCACATCTTTTCCTGGTGACAGGAAGCTGGCACTGAACCGAGGATATCTTTGGAAAGATTGCTGTGTTTTTAGGAAATTACTCCCAGGAAAACCTGCTGGGGAGGCAGGCTCCAAAAACCCCGTGTGCTCTCCACAGGGATTTGTTCTGCATCATGAGTAAGGAATCATTCTCCTTGGGAGTCCTCAACAGCGAGGAAGGAGCTGTAAAACCAGCTCCCCACAAAATCTGGCGTTTGTGATGCCTCTCTTCATGTCACTGCAAGCATGGGCCAGATCTCCCTTATTGTTCTTGTGTTAGCTAACAAACAAATCAAAGAGTTTGAGCCTCAATTCTTTGAGCAGAGAAAAAAAAAGAATCCAAATATCTCTCCACGGCTTTCCTAGAGAATTCAAGGCTGGGAATCTCAGAGAGCACCTAGTTAATTTTTCATGAAGCAGCTCTGCTGCTGAGCCACACTGTCCCTGGTACTGGTGACCTGGGGTGGACGTGCAGCCTTGTCCAGCGCTGTTCCCTGGAGCCCTACACGGACCCAGAAGCCCTGATCCCTCAGCAGCAGGGATGTACCAGCCTCTCAGTGGTCCCAGAGGGATGGCAGGGCAAACCTTGGTTTCCTCAGGCAGACAGGCCACGTGTGAATGATGCCATCAACGGGAGAGCAGAGCAGATCCACCTCATTTTCCAGCCATAGCTAGGACGTTTCCCCCAGCTGGCTCTGGCTGGAGCCTGCTGATGTCAAGGTCTGACTCTTCTTGGGAGTACGTGCCCTCACTGTTTGCCTGACAGCTTCATTTCAGGTGATCCAAGCACAGGGAACTGAGGCAAACATGTCTGTTCACACCAGTCTTATTCTTCTCCCTCTGACCAAATCCGTTCTGGTTTCTGTCCTCACTCAGTAATTTGGCTCTGTGCTCTTGGGGCTTTGAAAGTCACTTTAGCGAGACCTGGACATCACCATGTCATTCTCTTTATGGGAATCTGCTTCGGTTTTTCCAAAATATCCAATGGTCAGAGACCTCTGCATTCAGCAGCCACTGGGGAGAGGCCAAGTTACTGTCATGCCTGAAAGGTCACTGCACGGGAGCTGTTCCCAGAGCTGCCACCCTGCCCCTTCCCTGTGCACTGACCAGTATCGGGGCTGTCTTCGTGGTAATTCAGGTTTTGGACAGTGGCTCCTGGACCATGAAGCAATTCAGGATAAATGATAACTTAATGCCATCTTGTTAACACCCTCGTCCATCTTATCAAAGGTCATGATCTCACCATGACAGCTGGGCTTTGTGCTCCAGAGGTCCTGGCTGATCAGGTTGCAAGGAGAGTGACAACTCCTTCAGTGCTTTGATATCTTTGCCTCCATTTCCTTGGCCTTTAACGAAGGTATTTTTTCAAAGCTGGAAATAATGTGTGTCCAAAGCTGGCTAATCTGCTGGAAATATTTATTTCCAAGTTTACAGAAAGTATTAACACTGAGCAAGCAATTTTTCTGGATTATTTTTCAGCAGAGCTGGGGAGCAGCCATTGCCATCCACTCCTGCCAGTGAGCACATCAGGGAGTGAAGAGCTCACCCCAGTCCCCCTCAGCTGGTGCATTCTCCCTTCAGCACAGACAGCTTTTGCTGTGCTTGTCGGGATGTGCCCCATACATGGGAACCACATCCCACATCCCAGTTTGGCCTGGAGCCCACGGAGGAATGTTTCCTTTCCCTGCCCCAAAGAGCTGCTGCAGTGTCTTGTGTCTCCTGGGCAGCAATCAGGACATGGGCCTGGAGAGAGCTGCAGGGAGGAGGCAGAAGAACCTGGGCAGCTGCAGCACATCTGTTGCATGGGGTGGTGTGCCCACAGTGGGATCAACAATCCTTCAGAACTGCAGAAAGACCCGAAACCAACAAGTTCTGGCCTGGGAACTTCCAGGTCAATGGCATCAGCCTCTCAACAGAGTCTTCCAACCTCCAGCCCTCTGGAGCATCTGAGGAGGGGTGATGGACTTGGAAGCAATTCCATGCCAGTTAGATAAGGCAACATTTCCCAGTTAGGTGGTGTCTCTCCAAAGAGTCACCTAACAGGGTATCTGCTATGCTGTGACATCTGATCAGGCTGTAGGAAAGTTGGATGGCAATGCTGGGCATGTTCTGGAGGCCTGGACAGGGAATACCCAGCTATTACTGTCTCCACAGTCTGTCTTTACATGGAAAAAGTGCTGCCTGGTCTTTCATTTATCATAACATGTGGCACATCCCCACACAGGGGCTTACTGCTCAGCACTGCAGCCCTGACAACTGCAGAAGTCAGAGCAGCCAGGGGTGGCCAGTGTTCTGACACATTTTTCAGTCAGAACATCAATTTTATTCAGAAGGAAAAAAGAAAGAAAGGTATTTTATCAGGGCATGAGATCTCAGCCACGTCCGCATCGAGGCAGGATGAAAGGATGATGTACCACACCAGGCACCCAGGGCTGGCTCAGTCTGTACCTACCGCTCGTTGCTCAATGATTTACCTAACTCCTAATATCTCCAAGGAAATATTTGCAGTGGAAGTCACCAGAAACAAGACCTTGTTTGTTTTGCTCCCCACCAGTTATTTTGGATGTCCCAAATGACATCAGCTGCCTTTTTTTCCTGCTGAGAAGTTCTATATATGAAGACCTTGGATCCCGGTGATCTTCAGAAGACAGGGACATTGGCTGGAGAGAGAACTTGGTCAGGTAAGAGCAAACTTATTCCTCAAACAGTGTTCTCCTTGCTTCTGCCTCTGCAAACCCTCAGTGTTCCTTTGGGAGCGTTGGCCTTTTAACAAAAATTGTTATTCTTGCCTGCTGCCTGCCTGAATTATGCTCTGAGAAGTAAATGGTGCCTTTCAGTGCAAGTTTCTCCAGAAGAGATGTGCGTGTTCATTGGATTTGCAGTCCTTGCAGAAGAAAGGGTATTTCAGGGTTTTCATAAACAATTATCACTTCAATTATCTTTGGTATAACTCGATTATCTGCCATAGATTTCTAGCTAAGGTGAATTAGACCTCTCACACTTGTTTTGATCCCTTTTTGATGAGTTATTTACATTTAAATAGATTTGGAGCAATGAAGTTCATTTTGGTTCTTTAAAAAAGAAAAATAAGCTACTTCAAGTTGTAGGTCCCACAGAAATATTTCAATGACATTGAAATGCTAAAGTTTACTTTCTCTTTTTTACAATTCTATCAGGTGTTTCCATGCAGAGAGAAGCTTCAGAATCTGATGTTTGTGCAGAAATCATGACATTCACCCTGGAGGTTCTTTCCTTGCTCAATACATTCCTGTATTTGTACTGTGCAGATGTTGTTGCTTTTCTTCTACAGACAATCATGTTGTCAGAAATGTCTTGTTTTCCCATCCTGTGGCATGCAGGATGTGTTTCTTGGAGAAATCCCCATCCAGGATGGATGAATCCCAAATCACACAGATCAGTCATGCCATTGCTCACCAGCACTGAGGGGGTCACAGCAGGAGCATCCCAACAACCCTTTGCTCTCCCCTTGGCTGCTCTGTCCATCAGTCTTTGGAGTGACTGGTGTTCACACTCTGGTTCCTCTGGCAGGAAAGAGCCACCAGGAGTGTCACTGTCCATCATCACCAGTCATGAGGAGGCAGGAGAGATGCCAGCAGCTTCCTCCCTGATTTTGCCTTCCCTGACAGGCATTCCTTCCTTCTCCTTCCTCCCTCCTCCCTCCTTTCTCCTCCCTCCCTTCTCTTTCCTCCCTCCATGGGCTGGTGCTCGCTCTCGCAGCACTGCACTCATGGCTATCACTTCCCACAGTTATCAGGACCAAAGATGTCGGTGTTGTGGACTGTTGTCCTGCTCAACAGCCTGCTGATCCCTTCACAAGGATTTATAATCCCCTTATCGGTTGCCAGACCAGATACAAATGGTAAGTGTATGTAAGAAACAGGATTTATCCTTCTTTTGAGGCCAGTTCTGCTTTTTTTGTCTCTTGACCATAGTCAGAAAATCAGAAGCTGGTGCACATCTGCCCAGCAATAGTAGCAATGCAAGAAATTTGCATTTATAAAGCACTTTGGAGATGGCACTTCAGTTACTTTACAGAGGCGGGTGCCACCATCTCTTTTATATGAAGAGGGAGAGGGGAGGGGAGGGGAGGGAAAAGCCAGGCTGGAACACCTTGTGTAGCTCACAGTGACCTCTGATTCTGTTCTTCAGGTTTTAAAGATTCAGCAGCCAAAGGTGTTCCCCAGAGAGCTTCAGGTGGTCTCCTTGGTGGCAATCTGCTTGGTGGTCTCCTTGGCAAGCATGGAGTTGCTGGAAGTCTCCTTGGCCCAGATGGTCCTGTAGGCAGTCTCCTTGGCCCAGATGGTCCTGTAGGCAGTCTCCTTGGCCAAAATGGTCCTGTAGGCAGTCTCCTTGGCCCAGATGGTCCTGTGGGCAGTCTCCTTGGCCAAAATGGTCCTGTAGGCAATCTCCTTGGCCAAGATGGTCTCCTTGGTGGCCTCCTTGGAGAAAATGGTGCTGTTGGAGGTCTCCTTGGTGGAAATGGTCTCCTTGGTGGAAATGGTCTCCTAGGTGGTCTCCTTGGCCAAGATGGTGTAGTTGGTGGTCTCCTTAGCCAAGATGGCATCCTCAGTGGTCTCCTTGGCAAAGATGGTGTTATTGATGGTCTCCTTGGCAAAGATGGCCTTGTCGACACTCTCCTTGACACCGTCCTCGAGCTTCTCATAGGAAAAAATGGTCTCCTTGGCAAAAACGGTCTCGTTGGCAGACTCCTTGGTAGAAATGGTGAAGAACTCATTGGGTGAGTGCGAGTGGGAGATGGTGACCCTGAGCAGCCTGGTGTGTCTGAGCCATGCTGGGGAATTCTGGAGCCTGCACACACAGGGCTCCCTCCCTCCTCTCCTGGGGTGGGCTCATAAATGTGGGTTCATCTGTTGGGAGTTTCTGCCTCTGCCTGGCATCCCAGGGTGCCTTGTATGTGCCACAGGCTGCTCTTGGCTGGTGGGGATGCCTGATGACCCAGGGGGAAGAGGACCCCAAAGCACAGCTGCAGTGCTGGGGGCTGAGGGGACAGGGCTGTGCAAATGTGCTGTTCACTGCCTTTTTCCTTGTTGCAACCATCCAGACTGAGAATTGTGAACAACACCCTGCCCAAAATCAGTCTGCGCTCCCTGCCGGGCTTTGGGCACCAGGTGGACTTCAACACACAGCTGCTGGTAGAGAGCAGGTAGGGCCTGTCCATCAGGGGCATGGCTTGGGGCAGGGGGGCACCATCTCTTTGGAAAGAGGATGGTCAGCAAGTGTCCTGAGCTGCCTGCTGTGCTTCCCCTGGGCAGCGTGCCGGGCCAGCCCCTCTGCCAGCTGGTGGAGGTAGATGCGACCATACTGGTGCAGGACACGTGGACACCTCAGCAGAGGGCTCTGAACTGCAAGACTGTTGACATAAACATCCATGTGAGGTATGAACCAGGTGTGAGGGAACACCTGTGTGAGGGGGTGGCCCGTGGCTCCTGTGGCAGTGGGACACCTTGGTGCTGCTGGTCACTGATGGCAGCGCCTTTCTGCTTGGTGCCTTGAAGGTGATCCCGCTGTTGGGCTCAGAGGGGAACTGTTGACTTTTTTCTAAAATTTTGGCTAAGAAAAGAACATTTCTGGGTGTGGGGAACCTGGCACTGGGCAGGATTCAGAGGGCTTGGGAATGGTGATATTTCAGCACTGAGTAAGGACAATGCAAGCAAGGCCTCATGTTTCTCTTGTGTGTTGTGTGAAGTCCCCTTACTTTCCAGCATTAATCTTTGTCACTTGCTATTTCCTATTTTCCTGTTACCAGACCCAGAGTGCCAGTTCTGGAAGAGCCTTTGAATCGCCTGCTCAGCAATGTCCTGCAGGATCTGGTGAGTCTGCAGAGCCACCTCTATGCACAGTGCCGGGTGGGCAGGCAGCAGGGCAGGGCAGGCAGCAGGGCAGGGCAGGGCAGGGGAGGCAGAAGGCCAGGCTGCCCATGGATGTGGATATTTGCACAGCTGTGAGCTCAGTGGGGCGGTCAGCCTCTCCTCCTGCTGAAAGGCACCAGCACCATCACCTGTGCCAGGCTTGCTGGCAAACAGATTTCCGAGCCAGGCGTTGGTTTAGCAGCCACTGACCAAGGTGAGACCCATGCTGGCTCAGAGGGGCTGTGCACCCATGCCATGCTGAGTCCTGTGTGATGGGATGTGCCCCCCAGCACTGCCTGCAGCAGCTCTGCCCACATGTGCAGCCAGCAGAGCCTGCTGTCACTGGCTGTGTTGGTGCCATGTCACCCAGTGGTGCAGTGGGTCCCAGGACCCTCTCACTCCCCTCTGCTTCCCCAGGGCTGCAACATCATCAATGCCAGGCTCAAGGTGTTGAGCTCCCTGCTCGGCTCCAGGAACCGTAAGTTGACACCTCCTGTTCCCCTCCTCCCTGTGACATCCTGCCCTTAGCATTGCTTGGCTTTTTACATTAGGCAAATACAAATATTTTAGTAATTTTCTGAAACCACAACTCCCAGCTCAAACCAAACATTCAGCTTCCCTGCCCCAGCAGCAGCAGCCAGCTCTTCCAGCAGAGCCCCACCACAGGAACTGTTGCTTTTAGAAAAAACTTTTTTGCTGCAAACTATTGTTTTCTAGTGGCTTTTCTAGCTGGGAATGCTGTGAATGGGGCCTGTGCTGGTTCCAGTAACTCCTGGGACCAGGGGATTTGGGAGAATCCCCTGCCATTGCAGCTGAAGGGCTTTCTTCCCTGTGTTCACAGAGGTGCTCCCACTCGGGGCTCTGGGGGACCTGCCCTCCTTCTCCATCCTCAGTGCTGACGCCATCCAGATGGATCTGAACGTAAGTGCCACTGTGTTCCCTGCTCCCAAAACCTTTGGCTTTGATTCATTGGAACGTGGTAGATGTTTATCAAAGGCTGCTCACATTTCAGCTGCCTTCAGGCACTTGCTCACAGGAAGGTTCTGATGAGTCTGCTCCAGCCACATCCCTGCTATTGCCACTGCTGGGTCTCTACTTTAGTTTTTTACCTGCTAATCTTTGATGGCGGCATGATCAAGAGTGGCTTGATGCTACTTAATTAAGAATAATTGCAGCACTCTCACAGTTTTTAATCAGAAAAGTTTAATTTCATACAGGAGCAGCAGTCACTGCTCACAGGCATGTTCTGTTTATAAGTGGTTTGTCAAAGTTTGGTAATTGACAGGGACCAGAATCATGCATAAAATATCAGCAATGTGTCTTTCCAATCAGGATATGTGGCAGTGTTTCAGTGGGGAAGGTGCAGCAGATGCAGCCCTTGCCTGTGCCAGAGCAGCCTGGAGCAGCCCTGCCATCATTTAACGCTGACAAACCTCGTGAGAGCCTCTCCACCAGGCCCAAGGCGGGCAGGGTGCCCAGTACCATCCCCTGAACCCCTCCCTGCTCTGTCCCCTGCAGCTCCTCTCTGAGAGTGCCAGGGATGGCATGAAGACCCCCGGGCAGGGAGTGCCCCTCACTGCCAGCCTGCAGCTGGGCACCGGCCGCCCTCCGCGCCTCAGCCTCCCCCAGGACACCCTCAGCGCCCTGCTGGAGCAGGCCCAGGGCCAGGCCGCCCTCAACCTCACCATCACCAGCTTGACGGGCAGCAATTCCCCCCTGCAAGGCCAGGTCGGTGTCCTGCTTGCCCACCTTTGCCCGCTGGTGTTTGTGGGGTCCGGCTGAGCCCCGAGTGGGCTTTGCCAGCCCCTCCCAGCAGCCATGTCACCGGTGCTGTCCCCACAGGCTCCCCAGAGCAGCTCGCTGACCGTGTCTGCCCTTTTCCCGTTCATCCCCCAGGTCAGTCACCCTCTCCACGTGCATTGACTCCAACCCCTCACTCACCCACCCCTGCCCTGACCTCCTCTGTCCCTGCAGCTCAGCCGGGCCCTCCCTGGCTCCCTGCCCCTGGAGCTGCGTGTCCGAGTAAGCAAGGAGCCAGTGGTGACTGTGAGGGATGGAAGAGCCACTGTCACCCTCAAAGCCACTATTGATGTCGCCAGCCCTGCCCTGCAGAACCCCCAGGGGCTCCTGTTCTCCGTTGATGCGGTGAGTGAGCTCCTGGGGGATGAGATGCCTCAGTAACAGGGCGCTGGCTGAGGCTGGATCACTGCTGGCATGCCCTTGGCGTGCCCTACCCTTGGCCCTGCAGCGTTTGTACTTTTGTGTTTACTGCATCATCAAAACGGTGATGTGGCTGAGGCCGGATCACTGCTGGCATCCCCTTGGCGTGCCCTACCCTTGGCCTGCAGCGTTTGTACTTTTGTGTTTACTGCATCATCAAAACGGTGATGCCCAGTCCTTTAAACAAGCTCATAACCAAGCATAAAGCGTAAGTGAAATGTTTCAGGAAAAACACAAAATAAAGACAGGAAGGCGAACCCTGGGGAGAGAGATACATGATGCCATCTGTCACAGAAATGTGCCTTCTCGGCACAGACAAGTGTTTTTTCTCAGAATGGGTAATTTACAAACACACTTTTCAGTCTTGGGAGCTGTGCAGGGGAATAACCTCATTTCTTTCATTGTTCCATTTCCAGGACATCGTTCTGAGCATCACCCCATCAGTCTCTGATGGCAAACTGCAAACCTCCGTGGCTCTTGACAGGTAGAGCCCAGCTCTGCGGGTGGGGGGGCTCTGCCTGGGGACAAATGGGGCTGTGGGGGACAGTGATGTAGACATGGTAAAGATGTCAATGGCTGCTGGAGCTTCCTGCCTCCCCCCAGCCCCAACCTCAGACCAGCTGCGTGGTTGACGTGATGAGAGAATTGTAAAAAAGTTGTTCTAATTTTAAAATCTTGTGTCTTTATGAAAGTGAAAAAACTTCCAGACCGAGAAAGGGCCTGGAGGAGGCTGCACCAACACACCCCAATTCTTCCTTGTTTTTATCTTTTGTAGCATCAACCTGACACGGCTCCCCGCCAGCCTTGACGCTCCCAGTGTAAGTGCATGCACTGGGCTGAGGTGCTGCAGTGAGTGATGCAATGGCCAGAGGCTCTGTGTGGGGGAGGAAATCCACAAGCTCATTCTTCATTTTTCATCCTTCTACTTCTCTTGGCAGAGGGCAATTCCCCTCTGCCCTGCAGATCCCCTGTGCTCTACAGCAGTGACACTTGGGTGTATCCCCTCACTTGGGGGTGCTGGGAATGGGGGAGGAATAATTAAAAAGAAATTACCCAAAGAGTGTATCCACCCTCAGTTCTGGGAGTGTTTCACTGAAGGAAGCTTCCTAGTTCTTGTATTTCATAGTAAACTGAGTAGAACTCAACTGATAACCCTGACATGGCCCCACAACCATTGCTCTGACACATCCTCTTCCCTGCAGGCCTCCTTGCTGGCAGAATGGCTCAAGAAGGTCCTCACAGCTGTATATGTACCTTCTGTTGAAGGTATGGGGGTCAGGGTTCCTCCTCATCTCAGATTCAGCTGGATGTGGGGCTCTCCCCCTCCCCTTGCTGCCTTCATTCCAGGTTTCATCCCTGTGATGAGATTCTTACCCTGTTTTTGCAGATGCTTTGCGTGTGTCGATCCCACTGCCCAACGTCCTCAACACCAGCCTCAGGAATGCTGAAGTCGACATCACTGATGTAAGGGTTGAGTTTTCCCACTGTGCTGTGTCCTGGGGAGTGGGAATGTGCCCACCCAGGGCTGGGACATGCAGATCCCACAGCCCCACACCACCCTGGCCAACCTCATTTCCCATGGGCTGCTCCCAGTTTCCCTCTGCTGGTTTTCCACAGGAAAAGCTCACCTGGCGTACAGCAAAAAGCTGGTGGAAGTCTGAATGAGAAAACTGAGCTGTTTTTTGCTCTGCTTCTTCCAGGTGGACGAGTTTTCTGGCCAGAACACTCTAGAAAAATCCTGCTCGAGAGGAACCTCCATGTTGTTCCCTTTCTGAGGCAGCACATGCCCCCCAGTCCTGCTCTGCCCCACTCTCTCCCGGTTCCTTTCTCTCTAGTGCTGCTCTGTGCTGTGCTGTGGCCTGAGCAGGAGTGGCAGCAGCCTCTGGCCAGCATCATGTGGGAAAGCTGCTTGGCTGGTGGATGTTTGGGGGCTCCTGTGGCCACTTTTAAGATCCATAGCCAGGAGGCAGAGCTCTTAGGCACAAAGGCTGCTCTCCTATTGCTCCTTAAATAAAATCTCTCACTGTCACAGTATTTTCCTCTCTGGATATTTATTTATATGAGTTTCTGGCTCCCCACAGCTGTTTACCTGCTCTGTGCCCCTGTGCCACATGGCACACAGACGGGTGGGGAGGCTGTGCCCTCAGAGGACAAACTGGGACCTACAGAGAGCATTTCTGAAGCTCAGCCTGTGGCACCAGGTGTGAAACAGCCTCTCAGAGGGGCACTGGGTTGGGTGCACGTGGGTGCCCTGCTGCAGCCCATCTCTCATGCCTGCCTGGTGGCTTGTGATGCAGCGTTGGCACAGCTCCTGCTGATCTCTCCCTCTCCTTTGGAGCCCTCTGGAGCAGCTCCCGCTGGCAGCAGGTCCCACATGGAGCCTGCTGGTGCTTGTTGTGCAAGGCTCTGTCCAGAGCCAGGCACAGATAACGTGAGCACACACTCCATGGGGATTTAATTAGGTGTGTATTATCCCCTTCTTGTGTAAGACACACCAGGCTGTCAAAAAAAGCACATTTGATCTCACAAAGGTATTAAGTGTTGAGGGCAGCAGAACAAAGGTGCCCTTATTGCCAGGAGGGGCCGTGGAGGTGCCCCAGCACAGGGGTTTTTTGGAGGAAACACCATCTGCTGGGAAGGAGCTGGCAGCTGCAGGATGGGTGGGACAAGCCTCAGGAACCACTTCTCGAGGTTCCTTGAGCACTAAAGTAGACAAAAGCCTCCCCACACGTTCGCTGGAAAGTTAAAAGCTTCCCCTGATGTGGTAACGTGCGTGCCAGCCCGTGGGCAGGTGTCAGCAGGGATTTCTGTGGAAGGAGCAGATTTCCCAACACGGCTCTCTCAGGTCAGTGCAGCCTCATGTGCTGCAGCCACACACTTTTCTCACACACTTTTCCTTCCCTTTTGCCCTGGGCTCTTGGGAACAGTGCTGCCTGGTACTGGCTGTCCAGTAACCTGCTGCTCAATGCTTTTCTCTGGTTCACAAGTCATTATTTATAGTGGAATATATGAAACTCACAAATGGTGCTCTACACCCTCAATCCACTAGCCAGCATTGGAAATTCAAGCACCTTTCCACTTTTCCTGCAGCATCTTCAGTATAGAAGGATCTGCTGTGTGGGTTAAAGCAGAGCTGCCCATGGGCAAGGTCTCACTTCAGGAAGAGCTGAGCAAAGCCAGCCTTGAAATTCAGGATAAGGTCAGGTAAAGAAAAATAGTTCAAAAAGTGCTACAAGGTACTGTGAGCTTTGTTTTACCCCCAAACCTTATGATACACTCCAGTGAGCCAAGAAAAAAATGGGAATAAATACAACAATAGTAGGAATGAAGTAATTCAAGTTTATATTTAGTGACTAGTCTGAAAAATCAGAAAATAGGTCATTATAGCAAAATGAAAACCCTTTTCTGAAAATCCATTCATTTAACATGGAAGTTTAAGGAGGTTTTGTGTCCTGATATCCTTTTGAAGGTCTGGTTATTTTTATCATTATAAGGTTAAAAAGGGGCCATTTTACTAAGAAAGGCCAGTGTGAGTCACTGATATGATTTCAGCCTTAATTTGCACAACTCACCTGAGGGTGAGGTGGGTTCAGGCTGGGCTGTAAAGGAGTATATTAAAGGAGTAAAGTAAAGGAATAAAGTAAAGGAGTTCTGAGTGATGGTGGGTCACCAGTGCCACTCTGGAAGACAGGGATCACTGGGGGTCCTTTGGGATCACTGGGGGTCCTTTGGGACCCTCTTGCCAGCACCACGATCATCTGGGAAAGGCAGGGGAATTGCACAGGGAAGGGGGAGAGCCCTTGTGAGCAAACCTCCCCCTCCAAACTGAGTGGTTTTGTTTATGCAATTAAAATTTCAACTGGCCAGGCTCTTGGAAGGAGGAAGCGCTGGAAGCCCTGCAGGTTTGCAGGGCAGAGGAGGCTCCTGGGGCTGCAGGGAAGGGCAGAGGAGGCTCCTGGGGCCGCAGGGAAGGGCAGAGGAGGCCCCTGGGGTTGCAGAGAAGGGCAGAGAGGCAGTGCTGGAGCCTTTGCCCTCAGAGGGTGCACGGACTGCGCGCTGCCCAGCCGCCGCTCCGGTCTCAACCCATCCCTGGGCTGTGCTTGAAACCAAGCAGAAGCAGAAGAAAAAACAAGGCAAAAGAACCAAGCCTCTGAAAAAACTGGAAAGTAACTTAAACAGGGAAATAAATGAGAAAATTCGTGTCTTTTGGCATTTCTGGTCTCTGACTCCCCCAGCCCTGAGCACGGCTGTGTGCCAGTGGTGCAGCCCAGCTGTGCTTGGAGCTGTCACTCACAGTGTCCCTCCTGCTGTCGCTGGAGCTGGTGCTGCCCAGGTGTCCCTGCAGCTCCTGCCTGGCACGGTGCTTACCTCAGCCCCCATCCTCGAGTGCCCTCAATGGCAAAAGGTGGGTCAGGCTGGGGTGGGTGCTGTGGCTCTTTGGTGGCATTAAAATCAGACTCCTGAGAGGGTGAGTGATGGGGGTGTCCCCTGCTGGCCTGAGCCACCTGGCCATCATGTTCTGCCAGCCCCAACCCATGCCCTGCGAAAGACAAATGTACCAGGGCATTTCCCTGTCACAGCTCTCCCTCCCACCGTGCCTGGAGGTGACAGCCACTCACAGCCGTGTCACAGGGCCAGTGGTGCTGGTCCCTGTGCACCCCTCACACAGCCACAGGGAGTGGTGGGCTGTCCTGGAGATCTCAGGGCACAATTCTGTCCCGTGTGCCACGTTCAGACTTTTTTTTAATGGACCTGGTATGCGGGTCTTGTGAGACATGAGCACGTAGCGTAGGAACCACTCAGCCTGAGATTTTCTCTGCTCATTTGAGGAGACTATACACTAGCAGATAAAAGGCAGCAATAAATTTCCCATCGGCTATTTTGGGATGCAAATTACAGTTATCTCATGCAAAATCCAAGCAGAAACGATTCACTCTGCTGCTGCAATTGCCTTGCTCCGGGAGGTCTGTGCTCCACGCTATTCACAGGGAATTGTTTAACAAGACCCATTTACTTTGCAGCAGGTTGTTTTCATGGTGCTCCTTTATTTTTCCACAGCCTGCTCCCAATTGTGTATAATTTATTGGCAAGTGTCCTGAACAGACTTCTTCCTAATCTGGTAAGTCGGAAAAATAAAACATTCCAGGAAGGAGCAGTGAGTCTGAAAAGATGTGGTGCAGCTCCCAGTGGCATCACTGGTGCCTGGAGTAGGAGCAGAACCACTGTCCAGGGCTGCTGCATGCACCCAGTACCTTGGGATCAGTGGCAGGCACATTCCATGGCTCCACCAGCTTGGGAGAAGCTTCTCCTTCCTTCCCAATGCGAGGTCAGCCCAAATGCTGAGAGTTCCTAATGCTGTCCTGGACTGGGCTATGGACTCATGGAATCTCTCCTCCTCCTGAAAGCCTCAGGGTGTTTCCAGCCACCCCCCTTGGGCTCCTGGGTCTCTTCCCTTCTTTGAGGAAAATTCACAGGGCCAGATCCAGAGCAGGGCTACCATTCCAGGTGCCCAGTGCTCCCATGCCCAGGGAGAGCCTGGCAGAGCCAAGCAGGGCTGTGTCCTTCCCTGGCTCTGAACGTGGGTTCTCACTGACCTTCCCCAACTCTTGCAGCTCTGCCAGTGCTCAGCATTGCCCTGGGACTGGTCAGTGACCAGCTGGGACTCCTGAACTGTGAGCACACAGTGGGTCCCACGCCTTGTCCTGCTTTGTGCTGTGTGTCACCCACTCCAGCTGAGGGAGGACTGGGACACCTTTCCCTCCCCTGCTCCACCCTGCCCCAGCTCTGCCAGGAGCAGGGATCCACAGGAGCTCCCTGCCCAGAGCCTGCTTGAAAGCCAGGCTCTTCTGGATGAAAGGGAACTTCATGTAGGGGAGGAGGATCTGCAGCTGAGTCCAACAAGGAACTGCTGATCCCTTCCTCTCCCACAGCACTGGTGCCTCTGGATTTGCTGGGCAGGATCCAGTACACCATGCCCAGCCTTCCCCTGGTAACTGGCCAGTTCTCAAGGTGAACTTGAACGTGATTCCTGCATCTTCTCCTTCCATCTGTGCACAGGGCTTGGGATATTTCCCTGAGCTTCATCAAGGTCTCCTTCAGCCACGTGCAGCTGGGCAGGGGGCTGTGGAAGCTGGCAGAGATCCCGGCTTTGTGCCTTGCTCTCACCTCTGTCATGGGAGAGCACAGCAGGGTTTAGGTTTCACAAACTTTTGGAGAAGGAAGTGTCACGGGCCCTGGTTGGCGAGGCCGTCCGTGCAGCCATTCCACAGTGAGGGAACGTCAAGCTGACCGTAAAGGCAAATATTGCAAACGTTTGGACCTGTGTTTCCTTCCCCTGTGCCCAGACTGTCACTGGGAGTGTGGCTGGAGGCCTGGTGGACTGTCCACAGGGAAAACCAGAGACTGTCCCCAAACCCCCACAGGCCCCGTGCCACCCCGTGCCACCCCCGTGCCACCCCCGTGCCACACCAGCTCCTCCCTCTGGGCCTCCTGATGAACTTCTTCAGCTGAGATACAGCTGTGCTGGGCTGCAGGAATTCAGGATCAGCCCTGTCCTGGAGAGCAGCACTGTGCAATTGCTGCATCACTGGGCAGCCTGCTCTGCAGCGCCTGGTTTGTGTGCCCACCAGCAGAAACTTTTCATTTTTGGGTGTTGCCAGATTCTCAAGGCATACCCTGAGCCATGAATTGCTGATGGAAATTGCAGTCCCACAGCACCAGTGGTGACCTTAAAGAGTGATCCAGCTCACAGCTGCAGCAGAGGTGATGGTGGTCCACCCAGGTGATGGTGATCCACCCAGGTGATGTCCCTCTGCCTTCTGAGCAACGTGTATGAAGGAACAACCCATGCAGAAATTCCTTCCATAGTTTCCCCTCACCACAGGGCAGTTTCCCCACAGATGGGAAGCTCAGTTTCCCTGGGCTGCAGCCTGGTCAGAGGCTGGAGGAGCCAGCCCTGACCTCTTTGTTTGACCACAGAACATCTTGAGGAGACAGGAGCTGCACACAGAGGGGATGGAGTTTGGGGCTGAGACCTGGGGAGAAGTTCAGCAGTGACCACCCCTCCTGTGGCACTGGGCTGGGCTGGTTTGTGTCCCTCAGGTGTGCTGGGAGAGGGGGTTCCCCTCCCCAGGCTGCTGAAAATTGATTTCCCTTGCCTGAGGATCCTGAGTGTCTCTCTACACCCAGCATGGCACAACAGCAGCTTGGTGTTTTCCCTGTAAATGTTGCATCCTGCCTGCATTCTTGAGCAGAAGGAGGACACGTGTGTTTTCCACGGAACATTGTGTTTTGAGCTCTTTTGTGGGTGCTCGGAAGGGTGTGGGTGTTCTTTGCATTCTTGTGCTCAGGTTCAATAAAGTCCAGCCCTCTCTGCAGCCACAGCAGGTGCTCAAGCCTCTGGGGGTGGCCAGCTCAGGTGAAACCCCTGGGCTCAGGGCAGACCTCAGGTGGGAGGGCTGCAGTCCCCCTTGTCCACCCCAGCTCAGTCTCCTTTGTCACCCCAGCTCAGGGGGTGCAGAGCTCTGCCAGCAAATGCTGTGTCAGACCCAAACATGCCAGACTCTTCAGGGCCTGGGCCCAAAGCTGTGGGGTATCTTGATCATGTTGGCACCCATCACACCCTCACCTGCCCTGGGCTTTATTGCGGCTTTGTCCTGGGAGCACTTAGCGACTGGGGGGAAAATCACCCATGAACTCTGCATGAACCACGTGAAACCTCTGCAAATTTAAGGCTCTAAACCACCCATTGCCCCTGGGGTGAGAGGGAGTAGCTGGGACAGCTGCAGCATCACTGCTTGTGAGACTGTCCTGCCCTGGTCCAGCCCAGATCCACCCTGAAACACTCCTGGAACATCAGAATCGGGTTTTTCTGACATATTTGATGTTCCTTTTCCTTTCCACTCTATTCATTTCTCTGATTTCTTTTATCTGGTGTCTCTCAAGCCTCCTTTAAACTGTGGAGCTCTTCCTTGGACGCACAGCCAGCTCCTGCTTGCCTCTGGGGCACAGGCAGTTTTCTCACAGCAGACAGTGCACCACAAACCCACACTCTCTTTCATTTGTTTTGCAATTTGTGAGGTTTCTGTATGTAATTAACTCATTGGGAGGTAATTGCTCACGTCTCACTGTCCTTGGACTCATTCTGCTGCATGTGATGGTGCAGAGCTGTCCTGAAGCAGCCCTGGGACACTCCCCAGAGCGGGTGGGCACCAGGGCCAGGGTGAGGGGTGAGCTGCTGGGCTGGCTGGTGCTGCTGGCCACAGCAACGTGTGCTGCTCAGGGGCAGGCTGCTGCAGGGGTCACATTTCACAGCCAGCAAAAGGGAACTGTCCCCGCTCCATCCTTCCCTTGGCTTTCCTCATTCCTGCAGCTCAGGTATATAAAAGCAGCTGCCAGCAGCCGTGACCATGGGCAGCTCCACCTCGACATCAAAGGGTCCAGGTAAGTGGCACTGAAGGACCATGGCCACCGTGCCAGCTCCATCAGGCGACCTACAGCACAGAAAAACTCAGCTTGAAAAGCAGGAATTTTAATGATGCTTTCCTTTGATTTCTGTAGCAGCATTTAATCATTTATGAAAATTAATTTTTAAAGCTAGCAGAGCTCTCGCTTGTTAAATTCCACGTTTATTCCTGTTGTTGTTAAGTTTGTGATAATGACTAAGCTGGCAGAAAGGACTGGGAGTTTTTTCATGATCTTGGTGACCAGAATTCAGAGCAATTTTCAGCTCTCCAGACCTCATCTCAGCTGGTGTAAAATAAGTGTTTATCTGCAAAGCCAGACGTGCCTTTTGCATGTGCAAGATGCTTGGCTCACTGAAATGTGCATGACCGAGGAGCAGCACCCTGGTAGATATTGTTAATAACTGCAGAGATAGGTGCCTGCATGGTCACGTATTCTCTAAGAGCTCTTCTAAGAGCCCTGACATCCATTCTGGTACCCTTTTGCAATGCTGCACACGTCTTTCAGAGCCCCTCCAACAAATCCCACTGATTTTATTTGACACGATTTTCAATAGAAGCTGCTCGAGCCTCTCTCCTTCTCCCCTGTTCAATAATCACAGCTACAGGAGCTGTGCATCATTACGTGCTGATCAAAGGGAAAATGTAAAAGACAGTCGAGTGAATTAAAGTCTAATTTAATTGTGCCGAGAACTGTCATAGAGGGATTTTTTTAAGGTATCTGGAAGAGATAAAGAAGTTGTTCAATCTGACCTAAATAATGTTATTTCTCAGTGCTGAACCTCTGCAATCTGCACCCTGTACATTGTTTTTCTCAGAAGGGACAAGCTGAGGTGTCTGTTCAGGACACGGGCTGTCCAGGAAAATGCTCCTAGAGCTGGGACCCCTGGCAGTGCTGCAGAGAGACCATTTTCTCATTTCTTTGCAAAGAAATGCACCTTTCCATGCATAAACAAACACTCCCCAGCCTGCGCTGTCACCCTGAGAAGCCCAGCTCGGGCAGGAACAGAAGGTCCTTGAAGGTTCTTTCTTTTGGCTGGGGGTAGATCAAACACAGGGAAAAGAGACTCTTTTCACAGCTTGAGTGGAACAAGATGAGAAAAACAAACAACCTGCCCACGGGAAAGTGAGTCTGATTCTGGCCATGCTTTGAGCTTTAATAACACAGGGTGCTCTTCACAGCAGGCAGAAGGACACGACTGTGACACTCGTCATTTTTTATTTGGCTCTGCCCCTGCAAGTGTTCCTCTTTCAGGGCCATTCCAGAGTGGTTGGAAGCCATCTGTCTCTCTCAGTACAAGGTCCTCCTGCCTCATCTCCATCCCTCTTCCTCTCTTAAAATGGCATTTTCACTTCCCTGCAGTGTCAGGCACCCAGCTCTGCAGTGGGGAGCAGAGTCAGGTGTGGAGCCATCGATGGCTCTGGAGCAGTGTGGCACTGAGCTTCAGCTGCTCCCTGGTAACCTGAAGAGGGAAAAGGGGGCTGCAGGTCTGGGCTGAGCTCCTGGGATGAGTGGCACGGTGTCTGGGGGCTGTATGTCCAGGAGGAAGCTTCCTACCACCCCAGAGCAGTGCACATGAAGGATGGAGAGCTGCACAGTGCCCAGGCTGGCAATACCCACGTGAAACTGGTGCTTGGGCTGATGTGGGTCTTCCCACAGGTGCTGTGCCAGGACATGCCACCCTTCTGGTGTCTCATCTTTCTTGGGGGCCTCCTGCCCCCCTCCCAGGGCTTCCTCAACCTGCTGAACCCAGCACAACCCAGCGGTGGTGAGTTCAGATATTTTCTGTGTTTCCAGGGGACAGTCACAGCTCAGTCCTGTGCCATTTTGGGCTCATGGCACATCCCTCTGCTCATCAGGGAGCTGCCTCCTGGCAGGCCCATCTCCACGAGGAACCCAGCTTTGTTCAAGGATGCTCAGGGCTCCCTGTGAGAGCTCACCAGCAGAGCACCCTGAGGTGGCCAAACCAACCTTCCCTGTCAATGAAATCCTCCCAGGAGTGGAAGTCCAGTCAGTAACTGGGACTCTCTTGGTGCAGGCCTGCTTGGCACTGGTCTCATTGGTGGAAAAAGTGGGCTGCCTGGCACAGGGGCTCTTGGTGAAGGAGGGCTGCTTGGCACTGGCCTCCTGGGCAAAGGAAGTCCCCTTGGTGCAGGAAATGAACCCAGCTCAGCTGGAGCCCTTGGCACAGGCCTCCTAGGTGAGGAAGCACAGGGAGGGTTTGGGAGGGGAGGGTTTGTGGGTGGCAGAGGACAGGAGAGTAAGGAAGTTCTGCCTGTTGCAGGAGGACAGCCTGGCAGCAGTGGGCTGCTCGGCACAGGCATCCTTGGTGGGAAAGGCCTTGGACCCGGACTCCTTGGTGAAGGACTTGGCACAGGAATCCTCAGTGGAGAAGGACTTGCCTCAGGAATCCTTGGTGGAGAAGGCCTTGCCTCAGGGATCCTTGGTGGAGAAGGCCTTGCCTCAGGGATCCTTGGTGGAGAAGGCCTTGCAACAGGCCTCCTTGGTGGAGAAGGCCTTGGCAATGGTCTCCTCAACAATGGTCTCCTCGGCAATGGCCTCCTGGGCAATAACAGCCTCCTTGGACAGACAGGTCTGCTTGGCACAGGGCTGCTTGGGAAAGGAGGTCTCCTGGGCAATGGAAGTCTGCTTGGACTCGATGGTGTTCTGGGTGCAGCAGGAGGACTGCTGGGTGGTGGAGGCCCCCAGAAGATGACACGCTATGCCTGGTGAGTCAGAAGCCCCGTGGTGGGGCTCCCTGCAGGGTGGCCCATGATATCCAGGGGATCAGACCCTCCCTCTCACACAAACCACCAGTGCTGGGCTCACAGCTCACATGAGAATCTGAGACAGGGGAAATTCGAACCAGGAATGGGAAAAGTCTTACCTGTGGGAGTGGTGTGACACTGCCATGGGCCACACAGAATCAGGGACAATCTCCACCCATGGAGATGGCTGAGACTCAGGAGGACATAGCCTTGAGAAACCTGACCACGCTTTGAGATTGGCTGTTTGCAGTGGGAATTGCTCCTTCCCCTCCTTCACTTTTACCTGGGAACATCCACAGGTCAAACGCTGAGCAGGAAGAGGTGGGACTGTAGGATCTGCTCCTGCTGATCCTGCCATCTCAAGGTGGGTTTGCCTTGGTGTCAACCCCCAGGCTGAAGGTGCTGAACCTCGAGAACGTCCGAGTGTCTTGGAAGGTCCTTCGTGGGACTGAGCTTGTGCTGAACCTGTACTCGAAGCTGGTGCTCCGCTTTCCAGGGTGAGTGAGGCCATGGGGACCTGAGGGTGCTGGGGAGGATGGGACACTCCTGAGTGCTGGACAAACATCCCCAAACACTGAGCAACAGGCTGGTGAGGAAAGCTGTGCTGCTGACTCGCTCTAGAACCATTTCCAGCTGTCCTCACTCCACAGACACTCACCACTCATGGAAGTGCTCAAAAAACTTGTGGATATGGCTCTTGAGGTCATGGTTTAGTGAACATAGCGGTGCTGCTGGGTTGATAATTGGGCTTCTTCATCTTAGAGGGAAATTCCAGCCTGAACAATTCTACGGTTCTGTGATCTGCTACAGGACAAGGAGCCTGAGGGAAGCCCCAGACCTGAAGCACTGTCCCAGCCGAGGCTGTGCTTGCAGCTCCACCACAGGCACCAGTCTCCAGTGCTGCTTTGGCTTCCTCCATAACCTTCCACACCACTTCCTCTTTTCCAGGATTTTTCAGTTTCTGAGTGGATCCTCAGTAGAGGCAAACATCACATCACACATTGCCCTGACCCAGGACTCCCCTGGTGACCTCAAGCTGGTGGTTAAGAATTGCAGCAACCTCCTTGGCGGCTTCAGCGTCAGCCTGCGGAAAGGGTGAGCGTGGGGGTCAGGGGGGCAGGACTTCAGTCTCAAATCTGGGCACGGATTGACAGCGTAACAAGCAGATTTTGGGATTCAGATAACAAAGTCCTGAGCATCTGTAATTCCTGCTGAAGCCTGGGGGAGCTCTGGGCTTGCAGCATCTCTTATCAGAGAAAAGGAGGGGGCTCCTCTACAGAGGAGCTCAGTTTTTTCTTGATGTCAAGTCCTGGGTTTTGAAAATTTCCCTGGTAATTTTTGTCTGTCTTTTCCCTCCCCAGCCTCCTCACCAATGTGGTGAGCAGCTTGGTGAACAAGTCTCTTAAATCCCTTGTCCCTGCGCTGGTGAGTGTCTGAATATCCTTTGCTGTGAAGCTGCATTTCAGCTGCAGTCAGTGCTCCTGCCAGAACTGCCTGGTAGATTTACACACACACACAGAATCACAGAACAGTTTGGACTGGAAAGGACCTCAAAGGTTAGTTAGTTCCAATCCCCCTGTCCTTGGTGGGGACAATATATATAATATATATATATATATAAAAAAAAATATATATATACACATACATACACAGTATGTATTTGTGCATGCACAGATACATGCCTGCAGCCCATAAGTGAGTTATACAAAATTGCTTGATCTTCTTTACAGTCAGAATTTATTTGTTAGGAGTAATTTCAATTTTATCATGTGATGTTATGGGGTAATTTATACTCAGCTGCTCCCTGTGGGGGTGAAAAGAAGAAACAGCCCAGTTTAGAGCAAAGTGGCCTTTTTAGAGGATCTTTTACCTTGCTCAGTAGAACCTGTGCCATTTTGAGAAGGGGGCTGAACAAATCATATAGCTCTTTTTCCATGGAAGGACCATGCTCTAGGATGAAACCAGGATGTTTGTCCCATCCTGATTTAAATCTGTGAAACTCAAGTGGTGCTGGGGAATGTGCTGCTGCACCCACAGTGTTCTCACCAAGACTGTGCTGCTTGTTGCCATTGCAGCTCTGCCCAATAGTGAACTTGTGGGTCAGCATCATCAACATTAATCTGCAATTCCTCAACCGTAAGTCATTACATTTTCTTTCCTATATTCAGTTTTAGAATGACCCTTGGGGTTTGTGTGTCTGGCCACCTCCACGGGCAGCAGGTGTCCTCAGGAGAGCTGGAGCTGTGCAAGCAGGGCTCTCTGCATGGAGCAGGAGCAGCTTTTCTCTGCTGGCAAGGCTGCTGTGGGTGGCACAGTCCTGGCTCACCACCACTGCCAGACACCACAGCCTGCTCTTCTTGCAGGTGTTTTTCTAACCAGGGCTAGACCCAAGCTGCTGCCCAGAGTTGGCTCTGCCAGGACTGCCAGGTGCAGCCCCACAGAGCCAGAGGGTTTCCCCTCCCCAGCTCTGCCCATGTCAAACCTCACACACAACTGCTGCTTCACTGAAAGCAGACCTGTTGCCCCCAACATTTCCCTTGTGATGGGATCTGCATCTCTGAGCTCCAGGGTAGCAGCTTTCATAGGAACCTTTGAACCCCAGGGAGTTTGTGATCCATAGGAAGGACAAGGAGTTTTTCCTCCTTGCTGGGCAGGACAGTGCTCTCCCAGCCTCTGCCAGGGGGGCACAGGGCTCCAGCAGGCTCAGTGACACACACAGCTCTGCCCAGCCCTGATGGCCTCTCCCTCTCCCCAGGTGTCATCTCCTTCGGGCTTCTGGGGAAAATCTACTCTGCCCTCTCCAAACTGCCAGTGACATCTGGGCACTATGTGGAGCTGGATCTGCAGGTAGAGCCATGTCCCACCCTGTTTCCATCCCATGTCCCCACACTGCTGCCCTCCCTGCACATTCTCATGCTCTAACACCCCCTTGTTCTTTGCAGAATTCCCCATTCCCGAGCACCTTCATCGACTGGCTCCTTCAGAGTAAGTCCAGCCCCAGTGCTGCCATGGGATCCCCAGTGGTGTCTGTGAGCCAGAACAGGGCAGCTGAAATGGGGGGCACAGTCCTGGGTAGTGGCCAAGAGTGGGGAGGGTCCTCATGGCTCTGGGGTGCAGCCAGAGCTGCCAGGGGCTGTGCATCTCTCAACAGCCCCACAGAGCACTTGTACCTCACAGGGCACAGCAGTGCTGGGGGTGGTTGGGGTCCCTGGTCCTCAGAGATGGCCCCCAGCTCAGATGTGAGTAGCTTTGCCCCTGTGCAGTGGCAGGTCTGGAATACAGTAGCAAGAGAAACTCTGTGCACTCCTACTTATGCCCTGCACAGCCCTGGAAAAGTCAGTTCACCTCTTATAAAAGGATTTAATAATATTTGCTTAATAAGAGTGAATAATGGTCCTCAGGATGCTGCGAGGATTAATTAATATTTGCAGAGGTGATTGGAAGAGCTTTCAGCTTCATATGCATGGAAAGTTAATATATAGGGAAGGGAAGGAAGAGTTGGAAGTCTTCCCAGCTTCCCCAGAGCCGTATTCCTGAGGGCACTAAATCATCTCTGCCCATAAAGCTGGGGCCTCTCAGGCCACTTCAGGCACTGCTGAGCCTGTTCCCGTGGTGGGGGACACCAGGGGACTGTCAGGCTTTGGGCACCTGGAGAAGGGAGGGCACTGACCTGGGTGTGTCTCCCCCAGCTGCAGGTGTCAACCCCAGGATCAATCCGTAGCTGCAGGACTGACAGAGCCCTGGGTAAGGAGGATTGGCTGGGCCTGGCTCAGAGCTCTGCTGCCAGTTGTGCCGGTGCCAGAACCTGGGCTGGCTGAGAAGAATCCTGACCCTGCTACCTGGTAGTGGGAGGTGACAGGGGTAGGATGGGGCTGCCTAAAATCTCCACTCTGGTATCCCTCCAGGTCCCCCTGCAGGTGATTCCCAAGGAGGAAGAGGAGGGAAGGGAAAAAAACTACTCAGTTGGTGGAGAATAGACATGAAAATGGAGAAACCCAACCAAGAAAAGATTCTTTCTTCTGTTCTACATTTCAGCCTTCTCAGATTTTGGTGTCTCTGTCCAGCCTAGAGTTATCTGTGCTAATGATAATCTGTGCCAATAGTGATATGTCGATAATTACCCATACTGATAATTAGCTATGTGATCAGCCATGTTGATGACACTGTGACTGGAGGCAGGAGCCCCAAGTCTTGCCTGTGTCTCTCCTGGCTGTCATGGCCACAAATCACTTGTTATGGCACTCACTGATGAAGGGATGACCTTCATCCCCTGAGGGAAAACCTTCACTTGGGCTGGGGTTTAGGCCAGGAATGGCTCAGCACAGAGGGGACATGCCAGGTGCTGGATGCAGACAGTCAGGCAGGGCTTTGGTCCCCTCAGGAATTTCAGGAGACTGCACCAACTGCCCAAATCCTTCTGAGAAGGGAAGAGAGAAAAGGGACGAATTCAATGAGCTGTAAACACTTCGTCTTTGCTATCCTTCTGCTTCTTGATTGGCTTACTATTTCAAAAGGGATTTTTGCTGTTTCCAGTGATTTCATACTGTTAAAAAGAGGCAAAAAGCCCCCAGCCTAATCCAGGTGCACACTCAGCCTATTTGTTCCCAAACAGCAACGCTTTGAACTGATCAGAGTGAATGCTATCCTGCCTTGTAATCTCCAAGTGGATTTGGACGTGCTGCATTGTGGGTGAGGTGGATTTGAGGCAGATTCACACCCTTCTGTTACTCCTTACAATAAAAATGATTTTTCTTCATCTGCATTCAGCACGTGACTTGGTTCCTTTCCAAACTGCCAAAGGATTTTTGCATTTGCAAGGGTTTTGTTATTTATCTCTCCCATCAGCTACAGGAGTAACTCACATGTGAGGAATATTGAATAGGTGAGCCTGCTGGAAAGGTGGGGAACCACAGGGGCTGCAGCCCCAGAGCCAGGCCTGAGTGAAGCCCAAGCCCTGCCCAGGCTGCTGGACCCCCACTCTCACAGCTTAAAGTAGCTACAGAAACATGGTCAATGTGGCAAATAAATATTCCCCTCATTTGTATTTATGCAGATTTATTCTGCCCCTGTCCCTGAGCTGCTGGTTCTTTTAGTGTGTATTCCTGCTCCTGCCTGTTGCCAGCGAGCTGGGGGCTGTTTGACATGGACAAACACATCCCTGGGGCCCCAGGGAGACAGCTCCCCCCTAGGCTGGGCTGGGACCCCCAGGGAGAGCAGTGGCAGTAGCCAGCAAGCTCTTGGGCACAGGAGCTTGCTCCTGGCTGCTTTGGCATCAAACCTCATGCTGGGCTGGCTGTGCCACAGCTCTGGAGCTGAATGGCTGCATGGTGAGAGGGGCCAGGGACAGATGCCCAAGCCCTGCAGCCTCCAGATCCACTGGCACAGCACCATGTGCCACCAAGCATTTCCACACTGGCTCTGCTGGGCATTCCTGGTGGGCAGCACCCACACCCTTCTCTGCCTCTGCCCAGCGTGGGTCCCTCTGGTCCTGCCCAGGGCCCAGAGCCCCATCCAACAGGCACAGGGGAGTTCAGGTGCTGTTAGCTGAGAGTTTGCAGCCAGCATCCTCCCGGTACCAGGCTGCAGAGCCAGGGCTCCTGCTCACATCTTCTGGGTGGCAAAATGTTCCCCTGAAAACCTTGGAGGTTCTCGCTGCTCTTTTCCCAAGGTAATGGTGTGGCTGATGTGTCACCAGTGCCACAGGACCAGAGGCCAGCCTCTCCTGCTGCTCCTTCAGTGCCTTTACCTCACTATCGTGAGTGAGCAGTACCCCAAGCAGCCAATGCCACCCCTGCCCTGCCAATTAATGGCAGAGGTAACAATGCTAATGAGATGTGGGCACTGGGCACGTCTGGGCTGCACCAGAGCACCTCGCTCTGGCTGCAGTAACACCCACACCTGGGGGCTCAGGGAATGGATCTTGGTGCTGCGATCTGTGTGTGCTCAGAGTGCAGAGATGAAGGGCAGATGCTGGGTGCCCTCTGAGGACAGTGGCAGAGCTCTGTCACACGAGGACAGGATGGGTGGCAGTGCTTGGCCCAAGCTATTGGATCCGTAACGCCTTATTGGGCACCTTCAGTTTCCAGTTCCTAAGGAAACAAGAGGAGGAGGAAGGAACGTGCCAAGCCCGGTTCTAGGCTCACTTGCTGTGAATGACTGCAAAAAGAGGTGTAAATATTTCCTCAGTAACCCTAGAGCCAAAATGCCAAACCCCAAACCTCTCCAAGTGGCACAGTGCCATCAGTCTGGGTCCCCCCTTTGCTGCCACAGGCAGGGGTGGGCAGCCACTGTGAGCCCTGTGGGGACAGCAGCAGCACCTGCACTGCTCTGACCCACCAGTATGAGTAACAACACTGCCATGGGGCATGTCCCTGCTGCTGGCACCCCCAGCCCCAGTGTGCCAGGACAGATGACCCTGGAACAGCTCAGATCTTTGCTAACTCTGGCTGCAAGGGCACTGATGGGGTTTCTCCTCTCACCCTACTGGGTTCCCCTGTGGAGTTTGGTCTGAGGCTCTCCCAGGCTTCTGCACCCAATGACACCTGTCTGCTGTGCAGAGCATCCCAGGGGTACTGTCAGCATTGCCACTGCTGGACTGGCTGCTGAGCATGGGATAGGGAAAGCTTTGCCACACAGTATAAGGGCTTTTCAAAATGGAGTTTGGATAAGAAACTGTGGGAAGAATCTTCCCCTTTAATGAAATGTCAGAATGTTTTCCATTTTTAAAGGAAAGCTGGTTGTGGAATTGCCTCCTGTTTGGTTCTGATAGCTTCAACCAAAGCCTCCTACTATTCTTTTTTAAACTTCCTGTAGTTAAATTACAGAAAGATGACATTAAAAAAAAAGAGAGAAGGAACAGATTAAAAGACACTAAATAACCCAAAGAGAAGGGAGCACCTTGTTTAGTCTCAAACCCCATAATCAGCCTTACCAAAAGTGAATCTCATTTCTGTTCCCCTCACTGTCCTGATGGATGCAGGAAGGGGAGGAGGACAATCTTTTCTGGCTGTTCATTTTCACAGCAGTGTGCTGAATATTAATCACTCCCCAACCCTCTGCTGGAGGCACTGCTGCAAATTGCCCATCCTGCAGCCACTCTGTAATTCCTACACGGGAGCCACAGCCCGGGTGGGTGAGGGATCCCACAATGACCTCGCTCTGTAAGTGGCAAACACACCCCAGCAGTGTCCCTGAACACCCTGACAGCTCCATTAGCCATGCCACTGTGCATCAGGCAGTTGTCATCCCTGGGTTTGCTCTCCAGGAATGAGACACCTTTCTCCTCCTCCTTAATGCAAGAAGTAAATGTAGGGCAGTGAGGTTGAGATTTGGGTGTTTTCAACACTGATGGACTTTGCTTTTGACACCCTTGGAGACATAATGAGAAAGGCCTGCCTTGTCCTTGTGCTGACAGCCCTCCCTACCCTCAGGCTGGCCACCCTGCCTGTCCCCAGGCTGGCAGGACTTCCAGCTCCACGTTCCTGGTGGCAATGGCTGCTGGGGAAGGTGGCTCGGGCCCAGCAGGAACAGGGACCTTGGTCAGGGCCCCCTTGAAATAATGTGAAATAATTCCCTTTCACATTTCCTAGTGGAAGTTCTGCTGAAGGGGAAGAGCCCCTGCCAGGCTCACAAAGCACAGAAAGCAGTCCTCTGTTTTTCACAGATACAGCTGTCCAAAGGAATTGCAGCACCTTCGCCTCACGGGAGGCATTTTAATTACTCTATTGACTCCTGCTCCTGAGAGCCCCAGGCGTGTCAGAGCTCAGGCTGGGATCAGAGGGATGCAGAGAGACAGGGAGGGAATGCATGACCATCCCTGACAGCCCAGTGCAGCGCCACTGCCATCCCATCACAGTCCCAGTGCCCTGCCCTGCACAGCAACGGGTGCTGGGCCATTCCACGCTGTCTCTGACCAGCACCAGACCATTTTCATGTCTCTGATCTATGTCTGACTGTTAAATAACTCAGCAGCAGGGAAAAAAATACTTGAAAAAATATCTGGAAGATATAGAGCCATTAATGAAAAACATCAGAAAATAGATATCAAGTAATGACACCGCGATCAGAGCTTATTAATAGGAAAGGCTAAAGATAAAACTAATTTAAACCTGATGAGACAAGACATCTCATCTTCAGGAGAATGAGAAGTCAATAGTTGTCTGTCAGCAAAGGAAATAAATTGCTCACAAGGGAGGAGGGAAAGCCACAGGACTGCTGGGCCCCAGAGAGCAGCAGTGCCTGTGAGAGCCTGTGAGATACGCTCTGAATTCACAAACCCCACAGCTCGGAGCTGCCACTCACCACTCTGTCATTGCCATGCAGGTCACAGCCCAGCAGCGCTCCGGGGAGGCACATGGGCATGGAGGGAGGCTGGGGACAGACAATGCCAACCCAGGGGGGCTGGAGAGCAGCTTGGGGCTGGTCTGGGGGTGCACCAAGCAATGGCAATGGAGAGCTCGTTGCATTTCCAGCACAGCGCAGAGCTCACCATCGGCTGCAGAGGAGCCTGCAGGAGCAGCTGTACCTGCCCTGCCAGACCCCAACCACCACCAGTTTCAGAAAGGAGTGAACAGTAGAACTGGTTTTAGAAGTGGAAAACAGTTTTGAAAGCTCTTTATGTAGCATTAAATCCCAAAGCTCTGTGCAAAGAGCTGGCTTCAGAAATGGTGATGAAAAACTGCTGAAGGAAAACTCCCTGGATCCCCAGCCCACAGCAATCCCAGAGCAGGGAGGAGGAGAAGGCCTGGGGGAATGGCTGGCAGGCACATGGAGCCTGTCTGCTGAAGTGAAAAGCCATGAGAAAAGAGGAAAGCATTTCCCCTGGCACAGCCTGGCAGGCCACTGGCATCACTCAGAGGCAATGCCTTGTCACCTGCCACCCCCCAGCAGAGCCAGGCTCCAGCTGACTTAAAGCAAACTGAGCTTACAGGCTTCCATCAGGGAAAACATCCATCCTTCCCTCCACCAGCACCATGACATGCAGAGGGAACACAGACTGCACAGCTCAAGGGGTTCTGAGGGAGGATGTGATACACCATAGCCAGCTCTGGCACTGGGAAAAGCCTGACTGCTCTGCCCAAACTGCTTCAAAAGTCTTGGAGAAGGGAGCAAATTTGGGCAGGTGAGTGTAGGCAGTGATGGGAATCAATTTTGAGGCTGTCCTTAGGCCAAAAAAGCCAGTGCTGAGCAGGGGCTGTGAGCACCTGCTGCTGTCTGTCCCTCCACCCCCTGAGCACAGCCAAGACCTGAGGACAAACAAGTTTGGTCTCTGATGGGGGCCAGGGGAACAAACGGGCTCTTGTTCTCCCTGACAGCGACCTTTCTGCCAGGTGAAGCTTTTTGTGTGTGCGGGTGATGTCCAGCCCCACCCACACCCTGCCAGCAGAAAGGAAAGTGCAGGCTGTGATTTTCGAAATTCAGGTGTCAGGAGACACCCTCAGGGCACGGCTGCTGCTGGAAAGTAAATGTCATCCCAGCACTTCAGGTCTGTACTGGGAAACCTGAGCTGCCAAAAGCCTCCTTAGGTGTTTGCCCATGGGTGTAACTGGGGCAGGACTGACTGTAAGGGCACAACTTCGACCTGCAGAAGGCACAGGTGTCCATCAGGGAGATGGGAGGTCCGGCAGGGTTCAGGGCTCTCATCCCTGCTCAGGGTGGGAACAGAAACGTGCAAGAACACAAACGAGGTAGGAGTCCAGCTTTCCCAACAGCTGGATTTAGGCAGCAAACCTGACAAGTGACACAGAACCTGCATCCCACCTCCAGGCCTCAAGGAAAACAACACATTCCTTCTTCCACGCAGTGCCACAGGACTGACTCAGCCTCCAAGGTCACCGTAAGCACTTCCTAATGGATGCTTTGCTGCCTTAAAACCTCGGTCTTCATTCCCGAGGCCTATAAAAACTAAGGAGGCGAAGCAAATGGTGAGTGCTACGGCTCCCCGGGGAGCCCGTGCAGTGAGCATTATCACCTCCTCATCAAAATGTAAAACCCAGCTCTCCTCCTCATTAGTCTCCCGCTCTTAAAATAATGATTGTAAAACGGCCACAGCTGGCCTCAAAGCAGGATGGAGGGGGGAGGGCACACTGTGGTCTGCATTTCCCACTTGGAATAGATGCTCCTGGGGAGGTCAAAATGAGCAGGGAAAGGTGGGTGTCAGCCCTTTTTCCAGGATGCTGGCTTGGGCCCTAGTCCCAAAATGCCTGGGAATTATGAGCTGAAAGATTTGCCATGGGGCAGTTAAATTTGGCCACTGCTCAGTGGGCTTGATGAGCCAAGCACGCTGGCCTCAGTGCCCATCACCTCTGAAGGCTGTGCTGCTGCTTCCTTTGGGGTTTCATCCCAAACTCTGCCTCTTCCTGAAACCCCCTGGACCACAGGCTCACCCTCAGTGAGCAGCAGAGGTTCAGGCCTGGTTTGTGAACTTGGGCCACATACACATTCCCAGGTGGAAGCAGGAGGGCAGATCAGCCCTGTGTGCCTGTCAGCCCCGCAGAGCCCACACGGACTGTGCTGACTGTGCAGATTCACTTCTAGAAGGGACTCAGCTCTGATAATAAGCAAAATGTATTTGTTTCTTGAAGCCTAATGAATATTCAGTGAACCATGCTGTTTTCAAAGAGAAACAATTATAGCCCAGAAAGAGTGGAGAAGAGGCAGCTTTCGAGCAAAACCCTTTCAGGGTTATTTTAAAATTCTGCAAATTCATGTTGTGACTGCCCTGCTACCAGCTGTTCCTGCAAAACTGGTCACTGGCTTGAGCCTTTTATAAGGATTTATTTTAATGACATGATTATCTGTATTAAAAGGGCTGATCCTTTCTCACATCTCAGTTTACTCACAAGTGCAGGTCACAGGTCCTTGTTTGAATTTCACAGAGCAGGCTGGAATGTGACACTGCGCAGCCAGGGTCAGCTGCAGGCTGATGAAAACAAGGAACTGTCAGATGCACTTGAAGAACTTACTGGCCATTTAAATCAATACAACCATTTCTCTTAGTAAGCAAAGGGAAGGACATCCATAGATGTTTGGATTACAAAACGGCACCCCAGGTTTTAAGAGGCCAGAGATGACCCTCAACTAGCAGCCATCTCTTCCCATGCATTCTCCACTCTTCCCATGCATTCCCCAGGCCTGGAAACAAGGAAATTTTCTCCAGACAAGACCCAGTCCTCCCCAGTACCAGGGCAAGGCTGCATTCCTTCAGCCCCAGACATAACAGATTCACTGGTGCATGTTTAACACCATTTTTCATTCCACAGTCCAGTGCCACATTCCAACACACAAGTGTGGTGTGGGTTCTCGCATCCCCTTTCCAAGCATTTTGCCAATATTTGGAAATAGTTAATTAATCTTCTGTTATTTCAGGTCTTTCTACCATTTGACAGTACTCCTGCCATTCTCCAGTAGCTACTGGGGCTGTGTTTTGTAGGTAGTACCAGCTTTTGCAGCTCCTAAATTCAGCTGAGCTTGTAGGAAGGAACTGCTCTGCACATCCATCTCAGGCTGGGCTGTGCCAGAGGATGTGATCACAGTCAAAGGACAGACCTGCAGCACCCTGAGGGTGGGACAAGCCTCAGGGCAAGTCAAAATACACAATCTCACAGTACTTGGATTTTGCAAGTTCACACACAGCTTCTACCCCTTTGAACCTGCACACATCTATGAAGGGTAACTTGACACCAAAGCAGAAATATATATGTGTTTTATTATTTCATAAATAAATTTTAATATACATATATATCTCCATGGCTCTACCACATCTCTCCACCTGACCACACGTCCTTGTTTCTTCATGGAGAACATGTGCTGCTTCCATCCAGGGGCAGCAGGGATCCCTCAGTGAGCAGCAGCAGCACGGGACAGGGAGGTCCGGCAGAGCGGAACTCCCCGCAGGGTCTGCGAGCTGGCAGAGGTTACCTGAAAGAAACAGCACAGGCCCTCAGGCACAGAAAGGCTGGGGAGGATCCATTCTAATTTTAGGCTCTTCTGGCAGCAGCTGCCCTAGAGAACAGCACTGTGCAAGGAAATGAGCACTGCAGGCAGGTCACCTTCACCAGCACATAGTCCCCAGGCTGGGCTCTGCCTGGAGCCCCGCGCTCGGCAGCATCCTCCAGCTCGGCGTCAGGGAAGATCACCTTGATGTTGCCGTCGTTCCTCCCACACAGCTCCGAGGAAGAGCGTTTGCTGGGCTGGAAAGAGGACAGGGAACATTACCTGCATGGCAATTGCTCTGATTCACTGCTGGGCTTTATTGCCTCAGGAATTAATTGAGCACTATTGATGGTATTAAGCCCACATTAACCAAGCCCTGGAACACAGCACTGTGTCCAGAGTTGCTGGGTGACACACACCAAAGCACAAATTCTGTGCTTGGCCAGAGATGCATGCCTAACTGATCCCATTCCCTGTCCTCAGCTCAGTGCTCTGGGAAAGTCAAGCTGTCTGCTTAATTGTGAAGAAACAGTCTTGGGCATTCTGGGATTACAAGGGGAAAGTGAGAAGGGAAGGCGGAAGTGGTGACTGCTGTGCACAGCTTCAGAGCCAGCAAGAAAGGAGAAGGATAATTCCATTCCAGGCTCACTCACCCCTTCCACTAGCACCAGCTGGGCCTGTCCCACCAGTGCTGCGTTGGCCCTTGCAGCCTCCTCCCTGAAGGTGGCAATGAGCTGCTCCAGCCGCCGCTTCTTCACGTCTGCGGGGACATCGTCCTGCAGCCGGTGATGCGCCCGCGTCTTCTGCACACACAGAGCCAGCACAGCCCTCAGCACCCAGCCTGACCCCAGAGCCTGGTCTGACCCCAGCCAGCTCCACTGCTCTCCCAGCAACAGCTTCCCACATTCCAACAGTTTCAGTTTGTATCACAAAGGAACTATTCTCCAGTGCCAGCCACGTTCTCGCGCTCCTCACATCTTTCTTCTCCACCTTTTAGGCAGGTCTGCTGCAGGGCACTGAGTATCAGTGGCTGTGAAACAGTTTGTAGCTCCTGTGTGGGATGTGCCTGTCTGTCCATAGACAGGCAACAGATTCTACTACTTCTAATCTATGTACTCAATGGTGATCCAAATCCCTTTGCTTCCTTACATTTCCCAACCTTCTGTCCTCTTCCCCAACAGTATCATACACTCTGGAGAGCATTCTAATAGAGACTTACCCACTACCCACTCTTCTCATGGAAATACCTTCTCAAAAACTCACCACTTCCCTCCAGACTTGACTGACAGACCCTCATAGCTGGGCTCCAGCCCAGCTCCATCAGCACATTCCTCATCAGTAAATAATGTATTTGCAGCCTCTGCTGACACAGTTACTTCCCTGCAATGACCCTGGAGCATCTGCAGAGCCGGGTCACCGAGCAGTTACCAACCCTGACACTCCTACAGAGAAGCTGGAAGCCTCCCAGGCAGAACAACAGCCCTTGCAGAACCACATACCCTACAAGTGTTGCCTGGGACAAACAACATCTACAAGTATACCAAGTCTTTGGGTATGATTTTCATCAACTTTTTAAAAAATGTGTTATTGTGAGAAAGAGCACTGAGTTTAGGGGACACAGCAAGAAATAACAGCCTTCCCCACCAGGGCCTGCACTCACCTGTCTCATGCTGTAGGCAAACAGGAAGCCGACGTTGTAGCGGACTTCGCGCAGCAAGGACACTGTCTGCAGGTGATCCTCCTCTGTCTCTCCACAGAACCCAGCGATGAAATCACTGCTCAGGCTCACTCCTGTAACAGACACACAGCTGTACACTTCCCTCGTGGAAGACAGGAATGCTGCACTCAGGAAAGGACAGCGAGATGCAGCCGTGCCGAGCTCAGACCGAGCCAAAGGAACACACACCTGGGATAGAGTCACGCACGTGGTGCACAAGCTCCAAATACGCTTCTCTTGTGTATCTGCAGTGAACAGCACATGGATTTGCTAACTGGAAACCCACAACATCAGTGAGGAGAAACCAGCAGCCCAAATCAAAGGGCAGGACACAGGGCTCCTCATGGGGTGACCCACCCTCGCCGCATGGCCTCCAGGACTCGCGTGCTCCCACTCTGGGCTGGGAGGTGCAGCTGTTTGCAGATGTTGTGTCGCTCCTGGATGAGCTGCAGGACCTGTGGTAAGTGATCAGGAGATGTCTCAGAGAGCTTAACTGTACTTGGGTGCCAAGGAAAGAGTCTTCCCTGGTTAAAAGCCTGCAAACCTGCCACCTTTAGCCCCAGCATCCAACTCCCAGGAGCTGCTGTTCCCAGTTTGGGAACCCATGTTCTCTTTGGGAAGGCAGCACACCCCATACCTCACACTTCAGAGCTGCCTTGCTACCTGCAAGCAGAGGCCAAGGTGCTTATTTTACACTTGCCTCATCAGGAAAATCCTTGGGATGTGGGGAGGTGAAACGGATCCTCATTTCTGGATCAATCCTAGAGACCTGGTCCAGCAGGTGTGAGAAGCGCAAACCTCCCGCTTTGGCTTTGTAGACTGTGCTGAAGCCACGGCTGAGGCCAGGGGCAGCCACTGACTGAAACTGCACCTCAGACAGGTCTCGAAAGCTGTTGACATTCTGACCCAAGAGGGTCACTTCTTTTACTCCCTACAAAATAAACAGAGGAAGAAATATGACCTGGGCAGGATAGCTGAGCTGCAAGGGCAGCCACGGTTTTACTCCAAGGAGTTTCCAACAGAAGCCCTCCCATGCCTGTCTGTCATGGAGTATTATAAGGGGAATCCAAAAGCCACTGGTGCAACCCCACCACAACCTCATCTCTGCAGATAAAGGCAGTGACACTAGTTACAAGTACCACTGAAAACACTGTTACCAGGAACCACCTTTCTTCCCATGGCTGGGACAGGTGGGAGGAGGCTCTGCCTCACCTGATCTGAGAGCATCTTCACTTCCTGCAGGATGGAGGCGATGGGGCGGCTCCTTTCCCGGCCTCGGGTGAAGGGCACGATGCAGTAACTGCACATGTTGTCACAGCCCCGCATGATGGACCTGCCGAGAGGTACAGCACAGGTCACACCCCCTCCTCCACAACCATCCACGCTGCATCCTGCCCACATGAGCCCAGCACTGCTGCCTGCAGCCAGTTCCACACGCAGACCATCCACACTGGATTCAGCTTGCCCTGAGCTAACGCCTCCTGATTTTTTCTGCACATTTCCAAGAAAGCTGGGAAGAGCTAATGAGGCACAGACTGTCACTGCAGCCTGGCAGTGATCAAAGATCCTTCTACATCCCACCCCTGCAGAGTGATACTGTCCTTCCATGTGCTATGGCCACACAGCGCACAGTCTGATTTCATGTCTGACAATGTTATCACCAAAACTAAATCAGAAGTTGTAATGTGTGGAACATTAGAAGAAGGAATAGCAGAACCTGGGGCAGGGCACCACAGAAGGCAGGGGATGAGAGAGGCATAGGCTTCAGGTAGGGACAGTGGCACAGAAATCACTCAATGCAGCATCAGGCTGCGAGTCAGCATTCCCAAAGGGGAGGGAGAGATGTCCACAACAGCCAGAGCTCAGGGCATGCTCTCCAGGGCTCAGCCACACAGCAAAGCAACAGCAAAAACACACACACACACACACACACACTCTGGGAGACTCAGTGCAGCCAGCCACTGCATCTCCTAGTAGCTGCTGTCACTGACACCTACTCTGCACAGATTTCCAAACCAGAGCCACAGAAACAAGCACTGAGAAAAGGTACTCACACAAATGCTGTGGTGCCACTTGCACTAGTCTGGACAGGCAGAATGTCAGCATAGGTCTCATCTAGGGACAGCAGGACATTGGCAGCTTGCTGGCCAGACTCTGCCACTGCCAGCAGCCGGGGAAGGTCACGGTAGGCATCAGGGCCTGCTATGACATCGACCAGCTTCTCCCTGTGCAGAATCTCCTCCTTAAGCCTCTCAGCCATGCATCCTGCCAGCACAGGAGAAGGGTGCCATGAGGCAGTGCCTGCCCTCGTCACTCCCCCGCAGCCCTTCCAGCTGCTTTCCCCCCAGGCCAAGGCGGCTGCTGCCAGTGGGGCTCCGGCCGTGCAGCCCGGCCGTACCCAGGATCCCGACGCGGAGCCGAGCACGAGCCTGGGGCCGCCGCGCCTTCAGCGCCTTGAGGTGCTGCAGACGGTTCCAGATGGCCTGCTCTGCCTTCTCCCTGGGGAGCCAGCACAACGGGCTATTGCAGCTGCTGCTCCTGCACACAGCCCAGCCTAAGGGCCCAAGTGCTCGTGAGGAGAATTCAGCTAAAGGCAGGGGATCTAATGGCACCTGAGAGTGCCGTGTGTGGTGTGGGGATTATGTCTGGTCTCTGTAATATCTGCTATCACTTTGCTTGCCTGAGAGATCTCCACTGCAGAAACACTTTAGGGACTACGCTCTTGGGGACAAAAAGTGTCTTGGCCACATTACAAGGTACCCTGCAAGTGACAATGAGCATTTGGTGTCTTCTGCATTCAAAAAAATAACCAAGGAAATTTCCCTTTATATCAAGTTGCCCCTAAACATATTTCTCACATTTTTTAAGTACAGACACTGTACTAGTGAGTCACTTCAAGAGAAGATAAAATATTTTAAAATAAAATCATTAGTTGTGCAGGTCTCTCACTGCCCATGACATATACACAGAGCTTACAGTACCAAAGAACTTCTCACTGCCCAGAGAAGCAATTCATAGCACAATTAATGCAAATCATAGCACCAGCCAGCCCTACCCTCAACTAAATAGCCAGTTTCACACCTGCACACTCCTTTCCTCATGCAACACCTTTACTGCCTTGGTTTTCCTCAAAAAGTGTCCCAAACCAGTGATAAATGTCTCCTTACCTCACGGAACAGGTGACAAGAAGAACCACATCTGCCTAAATCGAAAGCAACAAAAAAGAGAAGAATCTATAAAAACCAAACAATAAGTTCTCAAGTCCTGCCCAGGTAACTTGAAGAGGCAGACTATAAAACTCACTTAACTCAGGGAAAAAAGACCTACCTAAGTATACAGTAGGTTTCAACAAAAGGAGTTGCAAGAAAGAAACAGAAGACAAGCAGAGTCTTCACTAAATGGTAAAAGTAAACCAAAGATGAGACAGGAGGATCCCGCTGTGTCCAATCCCTCTCCAACTGAGATGGAGCCCAGTAGTTTAAAGAAAAAAGACAACCCACAGCTTTCTAGCACACTTGTTAAGCAGTTTCCTTCACTTCACAGAACTCAGACTGCAAAACCCATAACATCCCACAGGGCTGCACTCCAGAGAAAAGCTGGGCCTTGCAGACACAGGCAGGGCGTGAGGGCTGTGCTCCAGGAGAGCTGCCAAGGTGCTGCCTTACCTCAGCCAGCTCCTTTGTCCTGGCATAGCCATTCTTCTGCAGGATGGCCCAGACGATCTCGGTGTCACTGACGTTCATCTGGCAGCCGTAGGTCTCCAGGTACACTGCAACAAAGGCCGTGTGGCACAGGAGCCTGCTCAGCTCCCATCCACAACCCGCCCCAGCCCCTGCTCTGCGGGAACAAGCCCTCAACACCACCACTGGAGTCAGGGAAGCAGCACAAAAGCTGCCTGCACCTGCAGCCCACAAGAGATAAACCGAGGGGCAGAAAAGACCTCCGAGGTCATCGAGTCCAGTCTGTGACCCAGAAGCACCATTTCAACTAAACCAGGGCACTGAGCGCCATGTAGAGTCTTCCCTTAAACACCTGCAGGGGCGGGGACTCCACCACCTCCATGGGTTGCCCATTCCAATGTCTAATGACCCTTTTTATGAAGGAATTTTTCCCAATATCCCACATAAAAGTCCCCTGGTGCAGCTGAAGACCACGTCCTCTTCTCCTGTCCCTCCCTCCTGTCAGGGAGTTGTGAGGGTGAGAAGGTTCCCCCTGAGCCTCCTTTTCTCCAGGCTGAGCCCCCTCAGCTCCCTCAGCCTCTCTGGTGCTCCAGCCCCTTCCCCAGCTCTATTCCCTTCTCTGGACATGCTCCAACACTTCCATGTCCTTCTTGAAGTGAGGGACTCAGAACTGGAAAAGGGACTTGCACTGCAAGCCTCACCCACGCCAGCCTTCCCTTCTCCGGCTGCCCTACCAGTTACAGGCCAGGTTGATACAGGCCACCCTTGATGCCCTTGATGTTCTTGGCCACCGGGTGCTGATGTTCAGCTGCTGTTGACCAACACCCCCAGGGCCTTTTCCACTGTGCTCTTTTCAGCTACTCTGCCCCAAGGCTGGAGTGAAGGTACAAGAGAGCAGGACACAGCTGTTCCGTGGTGGTTTGCCATGGACATGGAAACAGCTATAGCAGGTGGTTCCAACCCAGCTCCCATCTGACCCTGTGTGGCCTGATGTGAAGACAGTGACACCAACAGCACAGCCCCAGCACAAATGCCTTTATTGCTGGCATTAAAGGAGGAGGGGAGGGGGTGGCCCAGGGCAGGGGACCCCCAGCTCATGGGAGCACCAGGTGAGGCCCCAGCAGGGGGATGGAGGGTCCGGGCCAAGGCAGCAGTGCAGGGCAGTGGCAGGACTGGTGGTCAATAGGTTCTCACCATTGAGACGTGGGAGCAGGGTACTGGAAGTCATGATGTTGATTAAGGACTGCATCATTCGTACCTGAGTAGTGGGGAGATGAGGGAGGCAAAGCTTTAGTCTGCAGGACAGGAGACATGAAGGTACTCGAGGATAATTAGTAAAAGGAGAGGAGGAGCTGGGTTGGGCACACTCTTTGCCAGAGACCAGCAGCTTTGTCTGTTCACACTGGCAGTGTAGGAAATGCTGGGCTGAGAGCAGCAAAGGATCAGGCTCTGCATCCATTCCCAGCCTTGCAGGCCGAGGCAGGAGGTGGCTGCAGGGTCAGCGTGGGGTCCCATGTTGGGAGGCAGCAGGGAATGACTCCCTGTCCTGGTCCCCAGCAGGCTGCCAGCTCCATGCTGGGGGCTCTGGTCATGGTCAAGGGTAGCTCACCTGGAAAGTGCCAACAGCTGAATCCTTCAGGGAGAGCCTGATCCTGCACAGGGACAGAAGTGGTGCTGTGGAGGATGTGCCAAGGCAGGGAGCGATTCCAACCATCGATGGCCATGCAGATCCCACTCCCTCCAGCCCCAGCTCATTCCCTCCACAGCAGGCCCACATCCCAGGGACCTTCCCCTCCCCTCTGTGTGCCTGGGCACCCAAACCAGAAAGAGCCCCAGGCACCCCCTGCCCAGCCAGTGGCTGCTCCCCTCTGTACCTGCCCACATCCAGGCTCCCAACTAAGCGGCCGGATCTCACGTTGATGACAGCGGACACGTTCCCTGTCTGGGGAGAGAGCACAGAGCTCTGGCAGGGCTCACCCCACCTCACCCCAAAGTCAGAAACCCAGGAGAACAGCTGAAACACCCTCTGCCCATCCAGGGGCGTGTTTGCACCCAGCATTAAAGCTGCCATTTGTCAGCTCAGGAGCTGTTCGGCTGGGGACACCCTCACTGTGCCTGGACAGCACCTGGGAGCTCCCCTGGCAGGATCTGGGCAACAGGACTGGGCACAGCTCAAATTCCCTTCTACCCCATCTCCACAGGCCATGTCTGAACTCACCAGGCTGAGGAGGAAGAGAGGAGCCAGCTTGGAGTTGGGAAGGATGGCATAAGCCTGGACATCCACAATGGGCTGGAATGAGATTCCTCCTGGTCCAATAGTCAGGAATGGAGCAGTGGGAGTGGACAGCCTGAACTTCATTGGCATGTTTGGGTACTTCTCCTCCAGCTGTGTGGGAGTAGGGAGAGGAT